TACATTATTATGTAAATAACAAAATAACTTAAAGCAAAAATTGGGAAACGTAAAGTCTGAAGTCTTTATATTAAGGGCCATCAGTCGAACAATATTGTTTGCTCTGGGTCTAAACAGAGCGCATTGTGTGTGACGTCTTCTTTTGCGCATGCGGGCCGCTTTGAGCATTCACACTAGAGCGTGTTTGCTGTCGTATTTTATTTGTAGTGTGAACACGCAGACAAAAAAAATCGGATTTGATCAAAAAATCGGAATTGAGCATTAAGGCCTGCAGTGTGAACGTAGCCTGAGATGACCTGTAAATGTGCCTTCTGATTCTAATATATTAACAATCACAGAGGACTGACATTTGTTGTTTTAGGCAGCATTAAATAGGCTGTGGCCTCATTTAGGAGGATAACACTGACCAGCCTTGAAACCAGCCAAACTAAATTAGGATCCTTAATCCAATATTCAGACCAGGGAAAGGCTCAGGAAGGCTGTGGGGGGAGCCATTTCACTAGCTCAAGCCAAGAGGGAAAATACAGCAAATGCTGCATGAGTCAGCAGAATATGGCTTGAAACTGAACTGAAATAACCTTCATATGAAACTAAAAAAGTCCAGATGCTCAGCTGAAAAGCATATTCAGCTACAATGACTAAAATAGAAACAAACATTTACAATCAATGTTTTATACATTTCTAAATTCGAATATTTTAAATTTACATTTAAGTTTTGTTTTGTTTTTTTAAATACACAACCTTTTAAATTCAAGTAATGTATTAAATGTGTGTTTCTTCAATAAAGAACAGAACTGTTCTTTATTTTATTTAAGAATAATCAAAAAAGAATAATTACATTTTGAGTCACACGGCTTCAATCCAAATTTGAAGGTTTTGGAGGTTGGCCTGCCTAGAGCCCAACCTCAACATTACTGAAGCAGTGTGGGATCATCTTGACAGAGAATGGAACAAAAGGCAACCGGCATCCAAAGAAGAGCTTTGCATGTCTTTCTAAAAGCTTGGAGAACTTTTCCTGAAGACTACTTCAAGAAATTACAAGAAAGCTTGACAGGCTGTGTTCAAGAATAAAGGTGGTCATACCAAATATGGACTTTCAAGCATCTTAGAATTCGAAAACCTTTTTTTTTTTCAAATAATGAATGTGTTTCATTAAATTACTGCAATTATTTCCCAATTTACTAGCACACCAGTAAGAGATGAGGGGTGGCTCAACACTTTTGCACAGTACTGTATATGCAATCAAAAGAAATGCGATTTTTAATCTCAATGAGATTTTTTTACCTGGATAAATAAAGGATTAATAAAAAAAAGATTTAATCTTTCACTGGTACAGCTTTTCTGCTCTACTCACCTGCACAGGTCAGACGAGAAAATGTAGAGCATATCATTCTTGGTGATTACAGGATGGAAGGCTGTTCCAATGGTTCCATTAATCATGTTGCACTCATCAGACGTCCACCAATTCAAGGAGCTGCACAGATATTCAAAATGTTACAAAGTTCAAAGGTTTAAAAATGTTTCAGACATTTAGCATGCCCAGCTAAAAGCCATGGAAAGCCATTTGCTGGGTAAAGAGGACTGGATATATTTGTAGGTTAGGAAGCACACTATAAAATAAGTGTGTTTCCCAAAACTGCTGCTTAAGGTACAACAGCCTAGTCTTAAAACAATTAGGTTTGTAAGACAGGCAGAGATAAAAGGCAGTGCAAGAAAGATGATCATATTTTGGGGGTTTAGTGAGTACAGATGCAGAGCCGATGGTTGGCTGTTCCTCTCTGTGACAAAGATAAGAGAGTTTGGTGCTTTACTTAAGTAGTTATTTCATTATTGATTACATTTTTTAAAATGATGTTAAGGGGAGAAACATCAGCATTTGATCCCTGCAGTGAGTGATTCTGTTTTGCTGTTGGGGGGATTTGGCTAACATGGTTTGACTTTCCTCATTTAATGGCTATGAAATGAAATGATAATTATAAAGGTATATAAGCCAAACTAGCAGCCAGTGGTTATTTTGGTCACATGTCTGTAAACAGACTCAGTTTCAGTGTCCTATCGGCGGTGATATAAGAAAGAGAACGAAAACTCAACAGGAACACAGTTAAACCCACCTTGATCATATGACACAAATCACTTGGTGTGCATCCATTAACTTCATGTCACCAACAAAACTCACTGATGAACAATTTTATTATTAAACTGTAAATCCAACATGTGCTACAGGAGACAATTACCTTTCACCTTTCCACATGTCCACTCTGGAAAAGTCCCTATAGTTCTGCTGACCAGTGAAAAACACATATTCTCCATCATTGGAAGCATTGTTCTGTAAGATGGGGAAAAAAGAAAAACTGTTGTCGTTGTACTTTTTTTTTTTTTTAAATATGAAAAACAAAGAACACAATTACACATTTATGTGCATTAAAGAGACCTTATAGAAAAGTCCAAAAACATCATCCAGATCAGGTCTAATGATTTTCAAGGCTTTAAGAAGTCCATCTTCATATCCCCACAGCAGCTCTCCCACTGTACGAGTGGTGAAAAGGCCTTGACCGGTGCCCTTCATGTAGGCAGAGATCAAGTTGGCTTCAACGAAATTATCCTTGAATCTTTCCATCACTGTCTACCAGGACAAAAAAGACAAAAAAGGGAGAAGAACGCTGTTACAGGATTATTAGTTTGAATAAACATAAAGCATACAGTAAATATTGAGGTGTGTATATATATATATATATATATATATATATATATATAAAAATATATATATATATATGTGTGTATGTATATATATATATATACACACACATATTAAGAAAACAACTTCCTTATTTAATCTTGCTGATTGACTGAGGTTTTGCACACATGTGAACACAAACCACGTGCCCATGTGTCCTTTAACTATGTAACGTGAACTTCTCCACAATTTTGGACAAGTGACAATCATGGTGACAATGTAGGATCAAGTGACTAAGCCCCCAGTCACACAGACCTAGATACTGACCCTCTGGCAACCACCAGTTGCTAGGGAAAAACATCTCATCTCCAAGCAAAAACCTCCATTTGACTGCTATCCATCAATCCTCTTCTGCCTACCCAATTAAGGGTCGCCAGGTGGATGAAGCCTATCCCGCTGCCATAGGGCGAGAGGTGGGGCACACCCTGGATAGGTCGCCAATATGTTGCAGGGCTAACACAGAAAGACAGAACCATTCGCACTCATATTCACACCCGTGTGCCATTTGGAATCACCATTTAACCTCCATTTAGATTGTGAATGGAAGTGATAGACTTGTCAACAAATATTACCCAATACTCTCCAAACTGTAGTGAAACCAGCACAAACCAGAAATCTAGCCCCTTTCAAACATGTTGACTGTAGCGCTGAGGCAAAACATTACTTTGAAGGCAAACCTTCTCCATATAGGAAATGCTCCACAGGAAATGCTATAGGCACTGGGCAACCTAATAGCAACCAGAGCAAGACCACTAAGAGGTCTTTGGTGCAGCACTTTCTTTGCAACCAACATGCAACCGACAACCAGCAACTCCTGTGAACCACTCAACAACCAGTTGAGGAATATACATGAGCAATGCCCACATGTGAGAAACCTTAATATTCATCCTAATGTGAGAAAACTATAATACTGTGAGTGGCAGATCAGATCGGTGCTGTAGACTATTGCTCACCATGGCAGGGATATTAACTGTCCTGACGAGGTCGCTCTCTGGACCTCGGGACATGTTACGCTGAAAAATGTAGGTTTTAGTGTTGACAGCTGTTACTTTAGTGCCATTATCCTGAAAGTCAATTTGCTCCATAGGCCGGTACTCTCTGTGGAGGAAAAGCAAAACATTTTTAGACAAGAGAAAAGATTCTTTGTTACAGAGCTGCAGCCAAATATAACAACTAGCTTTGTTTGTGATTAAAAAAAAAAAAGCTATAGTGTAACTCCCTACTTTGCATCTGCACTCTTTAACACGCCATGTTATATAAAGCACAATACATGAAAAAAGTGTGGGGATATTAAGATGTGCAGTTCTTCACATGACTGATAATGTCACATTTACTCTACATGAAAAGTGGGTTGAAGATTGTTCGTCTTTTGTGGCTCAATTTCCCTTTACACACATCTGTGCAGTGTGCTTGTGACATGTGACAGTGATGCAATTATTGGAAAAAAAGAAGAAGCTTTTTTTTAAAACCATAAAACGTGTCAATGGTGAGTTGTTTCTTAATAACTCAATAACAAATTCCCAAAACTGCTTTATTTTAACTGATTTGGTGACCCAGATAACGTATGTAAGTATTTGTGTTAGCTTACAGTGCTACTGAAAACAAGTCAGTGCCAAAAGAGATAAGATGGTTATCAGCTGTGTGCAGTGATATATTATACTATCACTGGGTATGTAGATAATATGAATCAAATAAACTTTCTTTTCACCTTACACATATATCTAGTTCAAAGTGTTTTACAGGTAAAAAAAAAAAAGGCAAATTAAAATTGGCATATATTAAAAGAAAATTAAACAGAATAAACTTTAGAACATGTATACACCAAGTAAACAAAATAAGGCCAATAAAAATTCATTTTAAAAACGTAATGCTACATAAAACAGGAAAACCAAACTGTCAAATGATTAAACCAATAAATTAACCTATCAGCAAATAAAAATAAAAAGATCTGAAACCACGAAATAACATCAAGTCAAACAGTAAGTTAAAAATGTAAAACAAAGTAAATAATATCTGTAAAGCACGTTTAATCAAAAGCCAGTTTTATGAACGTCGAGATCCTGTGGGTGTGGACTGGGTAGAAAATAAACTGCACATTGACCTTTCATGGCACAATAACACTGAATGAACACAATAAAAAAAACAATAAAACGTGGTTTCGGAAAAATAAACATCTCCGTGTCACAGTTCGTAAGTCTCAGCACCAAAACTAGTACAAAAATGCTGTCTCTCAGGTGCTTACAGGTATCCAAGCACAGGATTGCTCTGCATCTCTTTAAATTTATCTCTAAAAACATTCACGTGTTTTTTTCTTAAACACACTATAGACCAGGGGTGGGGAACTCCAGACCTCAAGGGCCAGTGTCCTGCAGGTTTTAGATATCACCCTGGATCAGCACACCTGAATCAAATAATTAGTTCCTTACCAGGCCTCTGGAGACATGTCCAGAGACTTCAAGACATGTTGGGAGGTAATTTAACCATTTAAATCAGCTGTGTTGGATCAAGGACACATCTAGAACCTGCAGGACACCGGCCCCTGAGGCCTGGAGTTCCTCCACCCCTGCTATAGACAGTCATGAGAAAATGAGAGTGTTTGTGCGACGACAGTGTCCTGTGAGAGCTAAGCACACCCTGGGAATCAAAAGCTTGAGCAGAAATGACTTGATGTAACAATTTTCTGTATTGACTTTATCACTTCGTCACATTGTTGTCGAGGAATTTTGGCCTGCTCTTTTCACAGCATTGTTTCCGTTCATTGAGGTTTACAGGCTCAGCTCTCTTAAGGCCCTGAAACAGCATTTCAGTCAGGTCGATGTCTGGACTTTGACTGGGTCATTGCAACACTTTGGTTATTTTCTGTTTTCAGCCATTCTGTTGTAGATTTGCTGCTGTGGTTGAGATCATTGTCCTGCTGCACGACCCAGTTTCAGCTGAAGCTAACTGTCAGACAGATGGCCTCACATTTGGCTCTAAAATACTTTGGTATACAGAGCAGTTCATGATCTAATCAATGACTGCAAAACAAGAACAAATCATCATTCCTCCAAAACTGGCTGAAAACTTGTATGAGGCGTTTGTGCTGATACACTGTGTTGGGCTTTCTCCTAAAAGTAGGGCTGTGCATTGTGGCCAATCATCTCTTTGGTCCATCTGAAAAAAGCACAATGTTCAAGAAATCTTGTGGATTGCTCAGATGCAACTTTGCAAACATAAGCTGTGCTGTCATATTCTTTTTTTTTTTTTTAGAGTGAAGAGACTTCTGCCTGGAAATCCTGCTAAACAAGCCACGCTTGTTCAGTCTTTTTCCAACTGTCATGAAGTGTAATATTTAGATGCTAACTAATGCAATCTGATTAGCAGGACCTGGCTGCTATTTACCTGCTTAATTACTATTGTAGTGTCTTTTTCTGGTCTTTTTAACTCCTCCACAGTTTGTGTGCAGCAGTGTTGGCTTTGTTACTTTTATCAGGTTGTTGATTTTCCAAATCAGATGTATTGTGCTTTTATAAACCTTTTTCATCTAACTCAACACCTTCACTAGTCAAATTTATTACTACGGTAGTCAATAGCTTTGTATCACATTTATTCTTAATATACATCGTAAGACTGGCACCACTGGATCTTAAAAGCTCCCATTATGGGTGCTGATACATCATTGCTTTGCCCTCACCTCTTAAAATGTTCCAGTAACTTGACACTTAGTTTTTTTTTTGTTGTTTTGTTTTCTTTACATCAAGAGATGAATGGAGAAACAAATGTTAAGCGTTTCTCCTTTTCTTCCCTCACCTGTATGTATACGGTCCAATTTCCACCACAGCTGGCCTCTCCCCATCCAACACCTCCTGGGGATTTGTGAGATTGAAGAAGTAAAACTGCATGTAGATATGTGCCGGTGGATCCTTCCAGGCCTCAAATGCATCTGTATCGTTTTTCAGAACGACTTGCTAATGGGGGGCAAAGGGCAGTGGGGTTAAAAATTTTATTTTAGATGACTACTGTGCTGATGATATGTAGTTTCACTTCACGTTACAGGGTATGAACCTGCTGAAACAGATAAAATCATCATTTGGTGTCATGACACACACACACACACTCACTCACAGGCCACTGCTTTTCGGCACAAATACATAATCAACTCAAAGAATTTAGCAACGTAGCCATTCTCAAGAGGACCTGCTGAAGTTCAAACTGAGTATCGTAATGGGAAAGAGATGTGATTTAAGTGACTCTGAACATGACTGCTGGTGCCAGATGGGCTGGTTTGAGTACTTCAAGAAATGCTGTTTTACTGGGATTTTCCCCAAACAACTAGATTTTACAGAAAACTGTGTGAAAATAGAAAGAATATGTAGTGAAAGGCAGTTCTCTTGGTGAAAATGCCCCGTTGATTGTGAAGGTTAGAGGAGAATAACTAGACCACTTCAAGCTGATAGAAAGGCAACAGTAACAGTAATTACGTGTTACAACCAAGGAATGATAAAGAGCATCTCTAAACCCATAACACATCAACACAACCTATAAAATTGGAAATTTAGGCTACAATTCGCATAGACTCACCATAATTGGACAATAGAAGATTGAAAAACTATTGCCCAGTCTGAGGAGCCTTGATTTCTGCTACAACATACAGGTGGCAGGGTCAGGATTAGGCTGGAGTTGATGGTGTAATGGTGTTTAGATATGTTCTTTGACCTCTTAGTACCACTGACTGTAGAAAAGTTTTCTACAGTCATTGCTTAGTACCAGTTGAGCATCATGTAAATACTACAGCCTATCTGATTGTTGATGACCATGGCTATTGCTTCAGCAAGATAACGCAGTATGTCACAAATCATCTCAAACTGGTTTCTTGAACATAACAATAATTTCGCTGTACTCAAAGGGCTTCCACAGTCACCAGACCTCAATCTAGTAGAGCACCTTTGAGATTTGGTTAAACATGAAATTCACACTATAAATGTGCAGCCAATAAATCTGCAGCAGCTGTGTGATGCTATCATGTAAATATGGACCAAAATTTCAGAGGAATGTTTCCAGCACCTTTTTTGACCATGGTGAATTAAGGCAATTCTGAAAGCAAAAGGATATCCAATCTGATACTAGTAATGTGTACCTAATAAAGTGTCCAGTGAGTGTTTATGCCACATATGATACACGATATTTGGTGAGAATCACAAAGCACAAAATTTAATTTAATTCAACTGTCTACAATACAACAGATCTGTCTAGCAGATAATCATCTGTTCTCTCGTGTAAATATTTTTAGACCCTGTACACAGTTAAGACAAACTCAAAGCTCTTACTGCACAGCACTGTCTGTGCCCATTTAAAATTATCTGATTTACTATCCTGGTTTTTATTACATTTAGTAAGACATGTTACATTCTGTAATACTTTGTTGAATTTGCGAAATTTCGCTTTTTTTTTTTTACAATTACTTAACAGGTCTGAACCATACTGAGATTTGGGTTTTGCCATATTATGTTTGATTTTACCGAGCGGTTATTGGTCTATTATTCTATTTATTTAAACTATTACAAGCCGTGTTAATTTTAGCTGTGCTACCAAAAGATTTCCGCATGTTTAGGATACATAATGTACACATTGTGTGATCTCATCTTTTCAACCCTAGAAATAAACACTGCTACTTAAGTAAATGGGTGACAGAACAGATCTGAAATTGTATCCTAAGGCGAGCCATTTGTAAAACATTCAACATTCAAACCTCAAACGCTTAAAACTGTTAAAAACACTTCCATAATTAAATCCACGCTGTATTTCTTAGACGCTAAATGAGCTAACTTTAGCTACTATGACAATGTCTCATGTTAGCTTATCTGAGGTTAACGCCTACTGCAAAGGCTAGCCTAAATTAGATGCTTACCTTTTTAACCATCGACTGTACTAAATGTGGAAACACGCTGGTCAAAACCAACGAAATGCCGAGAATCAGCATCAGTACAGAAACAACTCCGACGCTGTAAACGCAACATGACTTTAGCACCATGACGAGGCAGTAGAAGGCTAAACACTTCTCTCAGCTTTCACTGACAGCAGATACCCACTGTTTGCTGTTTTTGTTTTGAGAAGCCAGGAACTTGCTCGGTAGAGCAAAGACTCACTTCCGGAATAAAACACTTCGCTCCTACCACATCCGGTTTCATAGACAGTCGACATGGTCAGTGAGCATTCAGCCGTAAAAAAGAAGCTGCAGTGATTTTAAATAATCTGTTTAACCTTTGTTATGGGGCTCAATGGTGAAATATGATGTATGAAAAACATAACAAATTAAACTCCCTCCACAATAGCTGGTCGTTATTATAGCTGAACCTCAGAACGAGTAGGTTATCTATCTTGAAGACAAACATTCTTTGTTTTTTTAACTAAAGCAGTAGCAGTTTAAACCTTTTGTTGCGGACTTTAAAAAACATATTTGTTAAATATGAGTATAAAATTGTGTCATTCATTTCAGTGCGACTTGGACTAAGCTTTTTTTAAAAACAACAAACTGCAATAAAGAGACAAGAGGAAAAAACAAAAGAACCAAGACAAGCCAACTGTCACGAGGGGCAGGACGGACAGGTTCAGTCTGCGAATCACAAATTACAGTTCTTTATTCACACAACACCAGGCGCTCTATATACAAGTGGGGGGAGAGGGTGTCCAAGGGTTCCAAGGTTCACGGGAAGCGTCAGGCTTTCCAGTTTCTTGAGTGTGTGATTGTATCTCAGCAGTTGTGGCTCAGGAGGTAAAGCGGGGTGTCTACCAGAAGGTCAGTGTGTCAGTTCTGATCTGCATGTCAAGCTGTCCTTGGGCAGGATACTGAACCTTAAGTTGCCCTCCTGATTTGAGTAGTCTAGAACAGAGATGGGCAGTAACGCGTTACAAGTAACGCTTTACTGTAATCCGATTACTTTTTTCAAGTAACGAGTAAAGTAAGGGATTACTATTGCAAAAACGGTAATTAGATTACAGTTACTTTCCCATAGGAACGCTGCGTTACTGCGTTACTAAAACCG